AGATCTTTAAAACTACGCAACGGATTTTGATGCGGTTTTTTTTAATAGATAGAGTGATTCTTAAGGAAGGTTTGTATGTATATACATATTGCACCCGTGCGAAGCCGGGGCGGGTCGCTAGTCTTTCTATATAGCCATCGTACTGTCATGTTCCGAGTGCATAATAATATTACTTTATTTTTTTGCGGATTTTATCCTGATAATACATATAAAACAATTGCTTTTAGTATACGACGTATGTAGGTAGTGCATGAAACGAAAAGACTTTTTATGTTATGTGTATATTTACAGTATTCGCAGACACAGAAACCAGCACAACCACAGGCATTGGTTAGTAGTTTTCATATTATTATTTTATAACATCAAGTGCACAATACATCGATTTTAGTGTAAGATAATTCTCATTTCCCACTTGCACTTTGTTTTTCCTACGCCCATTTTGTTCAAAACTGATAGATTTTGAATTTTATTTATATTACAACTTTTATGAGATACATTAAAATCATTATTATGTTTTTGGGCTTACTCACGTAATTATTTAAAAAGGAACTCGACTAATGTCAAACCATGCTGGAGGTTCATATTCATGAGCAGCATTCCGCAACCCGCGATGGGGCGACTGTTGCATTGCTACTGCTAATATGGCTCGAAATTAGCCGAGGTCTTTATCAAATAATTACCTAAGTAAGCCGAAAAATATAATAATTCATTTACGAAATGAAAATGAGAATGCTGATATGTTTGTTTTTAATACTATCGGTTCTCTTTATTTTCAGAAATATAGGGACGTAAGTTTCTTTTTACATTCATATTATTTTATACAGTTACTAAAACCTTAACTTGTGGTATGTGGGAGCGCATAACTACGCGAGACCAGCATACAAGAGGTTAATCAACAATATTTCGTTAATTATTGTTGTCAGAAAAAAAAAATGTAACCATAAGGTACAACAACCAAAAAAGCACTGTTATTTTCTTATGTTTTTTGGGAAATGTTTTTAGGTCATTGATATTGATGACGTAAGAACTAAAGAGAAGGTAAGTAGTGCCTTAGATAAATATGTAGTAGTCATAAGTTCTTTGCTCGTTTTGTTTCATATTGCAAGCGAACTTGTGATTGCTTTGTACCATAGATATGTTTATACCCACCTATGCGTACCTATATAAATGTCAAATATAAGGTCAAAAACAAATAGAATGTGTAATTATACTAAAGTATCAAAACGTTCGTTTGCATTCGCGTGATTGCAGCCACAAAATCCACAACAACTAAATGCGGTAAGCACCAGTCAAAATACTATTTTTATTCGTCAATCATAATAATAATCAATTTAAATTAGTTATCTATCTATCGTCCTTTCCTTTGGCGGTGTTAGTTATGTAGAATCGTATTAAATCCTGTAAAGGACAATCAAATAATGGATGAGGTTCATTCAGATCATGTGCTCATGAGTGGGTTACGAACTCAACGCGAACGTCGCGCAACTTACCACTACATTAACAAGTGTCATCAACGATTGAGACACTTATTTACTATTACTATTTGCAGCTAAAAATAACAAAGTTTCATCTGTAACTAATTCGATTACACTTCCATTTTAACCACATAGATGGCGCAGTAGGTAAACGACTGCTCAGCAACATTTTGCGGGTTCCTTCCAACTCCTTAAGATATAACTATAGAGCAATCACTCCTCACATCTTTCGTACCCCTCATTTATTAATTAGTCAATTTAAAAATACATCCATACTAAAAAATAAATCAATTGCTACAACACCTCGTAAATATTAAAAGGTATTAACTATAATGGATCTCCCAACAGTTTCCAACATTCGGTGATTTAGTGGATGGGACCGGTCAAAATGGTAATTATAATTATAATGTCAATCAGGCAAATATAAGTCCACGTGCCGAAGAAAAGTCTACCACCCGTCCGGTCACCCGTCCTTCATCGGTCCTATCTGTGCCTAACCAACAAAAAACACAGTTGATTTCACTACAAAATATCAGGAATGAATATAAAAGAGAAACACAAAAATTACGCTCTGAATTAGCCACGCTCCAGAAGACTATTGCGCTCTATAAAAGCAAAGTTGATAGTCTAACGAATCGTTTGGATAACTCTAAAAATACTGCAATTAATTATAATCAGGGTCCAGCAGTAAATGTGATTAATCAGCTTCAAAAAACAGTCGCCCAATTGCAAAAGAAGGTTGAAGATCAAGAGCAGGAGTCACAAATAACTGATTTGGAAATCATTAACGTTCCAGAAACTCCCAATGAAATCTTAGGTAACGTCGTTCTATCAATAGCGAGGAATTTAGGCACTAATCTTGAATTACGAGACATAGTGTTTGCAGAGCGCAAAGGATCTCTAGATGAAATGTCAGTACCACCAAATACAGAACAACTGGGACGTCCCATAGTTGTACGACTGGCGAATAGCTATATACGTGACCAGCTCGTTCGAAGTGCTCGACTGCGACAGGGTAGTAACACTACCATTTTTATAAAAGAGAGGTTGACTCAAGCTGTCAAAGATTTATTTTATCGCACTCGTGAAGCCGCCAATGCCCATAATTGGAAATTTGTCTGGACGAAACATGGAGAAATTTTCACTAAGAAGAGTGAAAATGAACCAACTCACTTCATTCACTCTGATGCTGATATCGAACGCGTTTTTAGTGAAGTTGGTACTATTGAAGATGAATTTAAGTTTGAATACTAGTTATAGTTTCGTTTATGACTGCCATCAATATATTCGTTTATGTAACATATTTGTTTTATTATTATACCTCTAAACAAAAAGATAAAAATATTTAGATAGTTTTAGGATGAAAGTTTTACGAACATTCAATACTTTTATTAAAATAACATGTAACATCTACAAAACAAAATATGTTCAACATAATTTTTGGAATACATTATTCAGTTTGATACAAATTAACACGAGCGAACGTAATTATATTAATCATTCAAACAGGTAAAAGGGACAAGACATGTAAATCGATCGCGCGATCGAAACGAAAACTTTGTAAGGATTTTAACATTGAATTTATAACATTATACGAATACTTTGTCGATTGGGTCTATAAAACTTCTACATATCCATACAATTATGAGTACCTCGTTAATTTTGAAAAGTTCTACAGTAGACATTTCATTTTAAGTTAATATAACTGGACCTCTTTATATTTCCCTTGAAGGGACTAATTTGAAAAAGATTTTTATAATAACTATTGTGAGACATAAATTAACTAAAAATGGCGGGTTACTCACGTGAATATACTGAGAAAATCTCTACTAGTTTCGAACCACAGAGGGGTTCTTCCTCATGGATGTCTGGATGTCGCGCAGCCTACTAGAGTAGGCTAGAGATTTTCTCAGTATATTCACGCGAGTAACCCGCGTTTTTAGTTAATTGACAAAGATTGTAATATAAAATGAAAGAATTTA